ACGCGCAGGCATTGCCCTGGGAGCATCGTCCGCCCCGGGACAGCGGGCGTCTGCGGGCGCCGGGGTCTGATCAGGTCTGTGCAAAGTTGAGACGGGGTACGGGAGGCAGAGCTGTGCCTTGGCACCCCAGAGATGACCAGAAGGAACAGGTCTAACTTACTGTAAGTCACTCATTCTAACAGCTAAGAAAGCTGAGGACCAAAGAAACAACAGGCTTGTCTCCGTATTCACGGTAGGTCTGCACCGACCCCGGTTCCCACGACGTTCCTGCTTGGCTTTGAGTCCTGCCCTGCTCCTGGGCCACCTGGGTGAGGCCACAGCAAATACGATGGGCTGGTCGGCACCGATCAGGGACAGTCTTCTGTCCACATCTGGATGCCCTGCGAGGGGCTCCGTCTCTCCGTCCACCAGGTTAAAGCTTGATTTAAGGTGTGAGGACCAAATCCTCCGATGCTGACCGTGTTCGGCATTTTGCAGCTAAATAAAATCGGGCTCGGGGAATGGGTGAGGACTCAGAGACGTGTGGCCACAGGTATGTGGGTTATATTTGAGAACATAAATTTTAAATAATTTACCTTTATACTGAAGTCCAATAAACATTCAGAAAAGTGAAGTTTACATTTAACGTCCAAAGAATGTCTAGTGTGTATACACGTGTGGATTTACACGCACGCCCTAGCTAGACATATGCCTCCGTGTGTGCAGACATGGGAATGGGGGGAGGGGGAGGGACAGCAGAAGACAGACGGGCAGAGAAAGAACGTGAAACCCTACTAGGCCCCTGGGCCTGTTCCCCAGCAACTCTCCTGTTTCGGTTCTGCTTAGGGCTAAGATTCAAAACCAGCGACCAGGGTGCGAAGCCCGACCCTCCGGCAGGCATCAGTTGTCCGCCGCTCGATGCTCAAATGGTTCCTACAAGCAGAACAAAGACCCGGCTGGCCAGCCCCTGCCCGTCCCGGGAAAGGTGAGAAAACAGGCCAGGGCCACCCACAACTTTTCTGTCCCCCCGATAACCCGCACGCGGAGGGTCCATTCGCCCTCACAAATGCCATGGCAGGCTCCCAGGACTGACGCAATCGCAGCCAACCCGTTTCCTCTCCGGCGACGTCAGAGCAAGTCGGGCGTCTGATGTGACGATTTGGAGCCGATGCGCGGACCGTGGGGATGCCGCCTGGTGACCGAGTAGCTCTGCGAATGAAAACTGAGGGACGATCGCGGACCTGTGTCGGCAGCACTCAGCAGAGCGGCTCGTGGTCACTCATCACCAGCACGTGCGCTGACACTGACCCGCCGGCCACTTTGCACGTGCGGGGAGAAGATCCACTTCCCTCAATGAAATCTTTCTCCTTCTTGGAACCTGAGCCACAGGAGCACGTCCCCTCGCGAGTTACAGCATCCCTTCAAAGCTGATTTCAAGACACCCGGGAAGTCCACACTCTGGTCTACCTCTCTCCGCTGTCTACCAGCCCCCCATGGTGCACTCCCGGCGTGACTGTAGCAGTGACGCTCCCTGCCGCAGACACTGTTTCGGACATTTCCCACGGCCCAGCGTTCACAGCGGAGTGTGAAGCAGCCAAGGGGGCAAAGTGTGAGGCAGGAGCCCAGACAGCCGCTATGACCGTCACGTACACGGCAGGTGCCTGGGGGCCGAGAGCCCGACCCCGACCCCCTCCCCTCTTCTCTGGCCCTGTTCTCTTCTCCCGGAGAAGAAAGACACAAAACTGGGGGCTGGTCAGTGCCGGGCGGGCCCGATCATCTAGGGACACACCTTTCTCCGAACGTTCAAAACAGAGACTCAGTTAATCTTCGGTCATTGCAGAAAGTGAGAGAATACCGTGGAGCAAAAAGTAAACAAAATTGAGAATCGAACGTTTTATCACGGAAAGTCACACCTTATAGTCGAGCCCTGCTGGCATTCCGGGGAGCAGCGCTCGTTTGCTGTCTCTGCCCAGAGCTGTTTTTCCGCAAGGACAGGGCTCTGCAGGCTGTGCAGTCTGTTTGCAGGACCGCCACTGTTGGCACATCGTAGGGAAGGACATGGCTGGGGCCGTGCCCCAACTGTGCCACTGTCCAAAGCCCTTCCGAGGTCATGTCACACGCAGAGCAGGCCTCTGGGGGTGCTGCTGCCTCATCTGAAGGATGGGGACAGGAAGGCACCATGAGGGTACACTGAGGCTGAGTCCGGTCCCTAACTCATGGGGGCTGGGCTCCGCCCAGGCAGCCTGGCTCCAGGGTCCTCAGGGCTGTTCCCAGGACCACTGGCCTGTGACCTGGGAAGGGGACCAGGTCGTGCAGCATGGAGTGTGCTGGGGACCAGAGCCATCAGCTCCCGGGAGTTGACAGGGGAAAGTCCCACTTGCTCCTGTCGGGCCCCTAGCCGACCCTAGATCTGCACTTGCTGTGACTCACTGTGACCTTTGGGGCTGGGACAAGGAGTCACCGTCCAGGACTGGTCCCTCCGGGACTGAAGGACAGCCAGGCCTCTGAGGATGGACAGCTCCTCCTCCCAGGTCCCCAGGGCTCTGAGGACGGACAGCTCCTCCTCCAGGTCCCCAGGGCTCTGAGGATGGACAGCTCCTCCTCCAAGTCCCCAGGGCTCTGAGGACGGACAGCTCCTCCTCCAGGTCCCCAGGGCTCTGAGGACGGACAGCTCCTTCTCCGAGGTCCCCAGGGCTCTGAGGACGGACGGCTCTTCCTCCCAGGTCCCCAGGGCTCTGAGGACGGACGGCTCCTCCTCCCAGGTCCCCCAGGGCTCTGAGGATGGACAGCTCCTCCTCCCAGGTCCCCAGGCCTCTGAGGATGGACAGCTCCTCCTCCCAGGTCCCCTGGGCTCTGAGGATGGACAGCTCCTCCTCCCAGGTCCCCAGGGCTCTGAGGATGGACAGCTCCTCCTCCCAGGTCCCCAGGGCTCTGAGGATGGACAGCTCCTCCTCCCAGGTCCCCTGGGCTCTGAGGATGGACAGCTCCTCCTCCCAGGTCCCCAGGGCTCTGAGGATGGACAGCTCCTCCTCCGAGGTCCCGCCCACCTAGCAGGGGACAGAGCAGCTCCACCGGCTCCCAGCTCGGCTGCCCAGTCCCGTTGTGCAGGCAGGGGACAGTGTGCCATCCAAGCTCCAGCGACCACGATGATTGTGTGAAGCTGCACTCACCTAGCCCTTGTCCGTCTGGGCTACAGTTACTACGTTCCGGAAACGGTGGGAGGATCCTTTCATGAATTTTGCTCTCCCAGAGTGGACTCTAACAAAATATCATCTGTATTTGGCAATATCGTCCTGATTTGTACCCCCTTCTCTCACCTCCAGACAAGAGCTAATTAAGTTTCTCTTTTGAGCTGAGTGACCGAGTCTGAGCATCTTTAGAAGAACTCCGACTTAAATGGGCAGACGCGTTATGAATTTGCTCTGTACAACTGTCGTGGAAATTAAGAATAAATGGGCATTAATTGCTGAAGAATGAGATCCTTAGTCAACTAATTTTGTGATAAAATATCCCCCTGAAAAGCATTTGTCATCTCTGCGCAGACACAGCGACGCGTGGAGATGCCTCTCAGAGCCGAGGCGAGGGCGGGGTGCTGGCCGCGTGAGACGCGGGGTGACTCTGGGGTCCTGTGCTGCTCAGGTTCGGCTCCTGCCTCCGCAGCAACAGCTCTCTGACATGTGTCCTCGGCTGTGTCCCCGTGCGCCCGCGTCAGTGCATTCGTACGAGATTCGCCCACGGGAGTGACGGCGCCGGCCAGCAGCCCAGCACCCGCGCCCCCCGGGCGGAGGCCAGAGCAGCTGTCCTTTGAAGCAATTCTGCCCAAAACGCGTGTTTTGGAAAAGTTCCTTCACCCTTCGGCCTGGGGACAGAGCAGGACAGCTCCTGACAGACTGGCCCCTTGCCTACCTTACCCTGTAACTGCGGAGTGTCCATTTGTCCTCGGTAGGATTCAGCTCCATCCAGCATGTGCCGTGTGGCCGCGCGGGGCCGGGAACAAGGCTGGAGGCACCGTGCTGTCGGTCACAGCGCCAGCGTCAGGACAACGCGCGGGGAAGGACACACACACACACGCCTCTTCCCACGGCCAGCGGGCCGCACGCCCTGCCTGCCTCCCGCCCCCGGACGCCGTCATCTCCCACCAAAGCGGCCCCATCCCAGTCACCGCGACAGTCCTCCAGGGACTTCCGTGTCCACTCTCACTTTCATTTTTTTTTCCCTTTATTGATTTTAGAGAGAGAGGAAGGGAGAGGAGGAGAGAGAGAGAAACATCGATGAGAGAACATCGACTGGCCGCCTCCTGCACGCCCCCCACTGGGGATCGGGCCCACAACCTGGGCATGTGCCCTGACCGGGAATTGAACCAGCGACCTCTTGGTGCAGGGTCCACGCTCAACCCCTGAGCCACACTGGCCAGGCACCAAGACTGTCTTTAAAAAGCACATGGTGAATTACCTCACACGGTGCCATCATCCATCTAAGTCATTAAGGTGAAATTCATAGATTTTCTTGTATTCGGACAGAAGTGTGGGAAGTTAAAACTCCGTGTACAGTGAGCCTGGGTGGTCCCGTGCTTCACCGCAGCGGGAAATGTCTCCAGGATCATAAATCTGGACAGTATTTGGATAATGATCAACTTCTTCCCGGACACCGAACACTCAATTACACAGAGATGATTAATGACCTCGGTGTTCTGTCTCCCACTTCATTCTGCCTGGGTACGCGGCTTAAGTGGGAAGGAAAGAAGAAATAGATTCCTTTGTTATTTATAGTCACCTAAACCCACATTTCAGTCCTGTGGAGATTAGCAATTAGATTTCTAATTAGTTTTCCAAAGTGGATTCACGGGTTTATTTCTTCCACACGCGGAGAAAATACAGGCACCGGATGTCGCGAGCACCCACCTTTTCTTACATTTAATTCAGACAGTGGAGCCGTGTGTGTCGACATCACAACTCCCCGCACTCCACCTGTGGCCACGGGGAAGCAGCCGGTGACACGCCCAGAGCGCTAAGGACACTCACCGTCGTTTCTCAGTATCAGCGGGGTGGGTGGCCCCAGGACCTTGTGGTTGGTCACCGTGTTGGTGACCACACAGGTGTAGTTCCCGACATCCGACTTTTCCACCTTGGCGATGTACAGGTTGCCCGTCTCCTGGGAGATGAAGCGGCGGTTGTCCTGGTAGGCGGGGTAGTCGTTGAAGATCCAGGCGTAGCTCAGCTCTGAAAGCGACAGGAACCAGCGTTACCAGGCGGTCCTGGGCGGCGGGACCCCGCGGCCTTGAGGACGGAAGGGGTCCTTAGACGCCCACACCGCTGCCCGCAGGCTCCCTCTCAGCCTGCGACACATGGCAGGACGTACTCCCGTCCCCTGACGCGTGTTCCTAGGCTTCCTGCCTCGGCCCGTTGTTTCCAGAGACCCAGAGGGTGTGCAGGGCGTGGATGGGGGCAGGCAAGGTCCTAAGTCGAGACAAGACACTTGCAGTGCTGGCCAAGCTCGCACAGTGAGGGCGCCGGCCACGCACCGGACGGCTGCACCCGGCACGGGGCTGGGCACCCCGACACGCGATCGCCGCCTTCACCCCACAGCTGACAATGTCCCCCCATCGCACTCTGTGTTCCCAGCACAGTCAGCAGTTTTCTAGGGGCTGAGAGGCCGGCGCTGGAGAAACGGGACGGAGACTCCCCAGACCCCCCTTCTTGTCAGTGCCCCTGCTCTGTCCTCTGTGAGTTGCTCCTTTCCCACTATGTCAGGGAGGGGCTGGCTCCAGTGTGCAACGCACACTCACTCAGCACACGCTCGCCCAATGCACACTTGCCCAACGCACACTCGCTCAATGCACACTCGCCCAACACACACTCGCCCAATGCACACTCACCCAACACACTCACTCAGCACACACTCGCCCAACACACACTCGCCCAACACACTCACTCAGCACATACTTGTCCAACACACACTCGCTCAATACACATTCGCCCAACACACACTCACCCAACACACACTCAGCACACACTTGCCCAATGCACACTCACTCAATGCATACTCACCCAACACACACTCACTCAGCACACACTCGCCCAATGCACACTCGCTTAGCACACGATTGGCCGGCCCTGTGAGTGTAAATCTGCATTTAAACATGTTGGCTGAAAAATATGACTCCCATAGGAGAGTGACTACACGGTCACTGTTAAAGAGCAGCCTTTTCGCCCGGCTGGTGTGGCTCGGTGGTTGAGCGTCGACCCTGCACCAAGAAGTCGCCAGTTTGATTCCCAGTCAGAGCACATGCCCAGGTTGTGGGCTGATCCCTAGTGGGGGGCGTGCAGGAGGCGGCCCATCGATGTTCTCTCTCATCGATGTTTCTCTCTTTCTCTCTCCCTCTCCTTTCCTCTCTCTCTAAAATCAACAAAAATAAATAGATCAATAAATAAGTAAAGAGTCGCCGTTCGCAGGCACTGCCGGGCCCCGATGCCCGTGGAGGAGGGGAACGCACAGCCAGGCCCGAGCGCGTCCCGTGGGAGTCTGACCGGACCAGGGGTCAGGGCAGTGCTTCCGGGAAGACACGCAAGGCCACCGTGCACTTCAGAGACACGCCAGAGACGGAAGGTCAGGATGGGCTGCCGAGACCCACCGGGCACCCAGGATACCAGGCCTCATCGGCCCCGGCGCCCCACCGGCCCCTCCTTAATGCGTCACCCCTAGCTGTGTCCACAGCCGAAGAAGGGAGTCTCCGCACACCCCATTTTCTTTCTACAGGTGATTGTGGTGGGGGAGGGGAGCAACGAGTTGCACAAGGCTGTCTGCTTTCTGTAGGGTCCCAGGCGAAAGCCTAAGGGAGTGTCCTTGGGAACAGCAGAAGGTCACCCCATACTCAGGGCTCAGAAAGGACCTTTGTCACTGGAGACCCCAGTGAGGCCGGGCTGGAGCTGACCCGACAGGGTGTGCTGGAGGCCACCTCCGCCTAACACCCTGCTGACACGCAGAGGGTTGTGCCGGGGCCCCCACTCGTCCCTGGGTCGCGCCGCCTCCTGCATTCTTCCAGGGAGATGGGATTATGTTCATCTGAAAATAGCTAATCACTTTGTTTACCCGTGTGTCTGCAATTCTAAGTAACCCACGTGGAAGTCAAGAGGGTGCTCGGTGTGAAGAAGGTAACAGTTCCCGGTAAGCTCGTCACCAAGTCTGGGAGGAGAGGCCCCGGGGCAGGTCAGGAAGCAGAGGCACGGGGTGGTGGCTCTCCCACAAAGACAGGAGACTTCCCCCAGCACCCCCAGCACCCTCCCTCCACCCGGTGAGGTTCGGGCCAAACAGGTGCCTGGGAGCAGGAGAGCACGGCCTGTCCTCCCGTCAGCTCCAGAGAGCTCGAAGAATAAACTGGACCTCCAAAGTCACAGGCAGAAGCTAGAAAGTCACTTCTCAGTGCAGTATTAATCAACCTGCACCTCTCCAAGGAGTCAAGTACTCCATGAAACCACACTGTTTTTTGTTTTTTCCTAAAGACATTTTTCAAAACCGCCCTGAGTGGCTACTGGCTGCGAGGGAGGCTTTCTGAGTTTCACGGGAGGAGGCTGGCTTAGTCACGGGGATGTTGTACGGACCACGGACATCAGAAAAGATACGTGCGCTTTGTTATTTTCCTAAGCTCAAAATAAAGAAATAAACAAAGACCCGAAGACCGAAGTCGAAGCCTGTGCTACACAGGAAAGCCCATAGCTCACTCACTGCAGCCCCTCAATCCCTCGGATGGGACGAGGGTGCGGGGCGGCCGTGGGGTGCCGTGTGCGGAAGGGCCTGCACCACAGGAGCACGGAATCATTAAAGGTGAATCATTTTTAAAGTAAAAAGAAAAAACCTGCTCAATTAGCATGCTGTGTAAGCTACTTAAAAATAAGTTATGTTGGTTTCACCGCTCTCTGTGACCTCGGTGACTTCATCCTCCGGTGGGAGACGCAGATGACCTCCGCCCAGCGTGGCGCTTTCTCGGCGGCGGTCGTAGGAACACTTGTTTCGTTAGGAACGTTCTCCACCCCCGCCCCTGCCAGGTTTAAATGAATTACGTGACCAAATGACTTTGAGGAGCACTGGACTGGGCGAAGCTGAACGGATTTTTAAATTCCTCTTTCCAAAGCCTGCAAGAGGTTTTCCACACGTCGGGGATCGTGCCATTCCTCAGCGTGTGCTTCGGCGAGCAAGCCTGCTGTGGTCACAGAGCCCCCCCCCAACCGCCTTTGAACGCTCGCTGGTTTCCCACACATTTAGGAACAGGTCACGAAACCGCAGGTGGGAAACTAACAATGGGACGGCTTCAAGACACAGGAAATCTAACATGGAGAGCCTTACCTAGACTGCTCTGGTCTGGGGGAAGATCGCTGGGTAACATCAAACACCAGAAAACAACAAAGTATCACGCTGGCATTGTAACGAGCTCCCCGCGCGGTAGCAGGGACGTGACACTGTACCCGTTTCCCATGCTGTAGATTGTGCCAAGGAGGGAAGCCAGCAGCTGTTACGCGTGTGACCTTCGGCAGCGCCGTGAGCCCTTCGTGCAAAGGCCAGCCAACAATCCTTGGCTGCTGCCTGGTGACGCCGTGCTGAGCGGCGTGCGGAGCCCCAAGCGGGGAGACCTCTAAAAAAAGAGGTTAGTTTATTTTTCCTGACAGCAAAGATCACTCCCTAGACTATTACATTTTTATTCCTCCGAGTCAATGAAGAAGCATAAGGAATATAATGTCATGATAATGTGGACATCAAAGCAGGCAGAACACGAGCAAACAGCACCTGGCCAATCACCATCCTCGCTTCCTTTTAAAGATAGAAAGGAACAGAGCCGGAGGCATCAACCCCGATTTCAAACAGTTACACTGTTGCAACGATTCAAACAGTGTTGGTTTGGTATGAAAAGAGACACACAGATCAATGGGACACAGCAGAGAGCCCAGGCATAAACCCACACACATGTGGCCAATTAGTTATTAAGAAGGAGCCCAGACTATACAACTGGGGAAGGACAGTCTTGTCAGTAGATGGTGCTGGGACAACTGGACAGACTCATGCAAAAGAACAAAACCGGACCACTTTCTTATACCACTCACAAAAATGCTCTCAAAACGGATGAGGCTCGAATGTAAGAGCTGAGACCATACACCTTCAGGAGGAAAACGCAGAAAGGAAGCTGTTTACATGGGTCTGGGCGATGCTATTTTTGAACCTGACAGCAAAAGCAGAAATAAACAAGGGAGACCACATCAAACAAACCATCTGCACGGCCAAGGAAAGCGGCGACACGCCGGCGACCTACCGGGTGGGAGAAGATATTTACACATCAGATAGCTGGTAAGGGATTAATACCCACAATGTATAAAGAACTCATACAGCCCTGGCCCGTTTGGCTCAGCGGTGGGAGCATTGGCCTGCGGACCAGAGAGTTCCAGGTTCGGTTCCCGCTAAGGGCACGTACCAAACACAGGAAAACAACAACAAAACAACAACAACAAAGAAAGAACTCATACAATTCAATAGCAAAAACAGAAACCATTAAAGAGTGGGCAAAAGATCTGAATAGACACTTTTCCAAAACAGAAAGATAAACCGCCAACAGGTATATGTTAAAAGGTGCTCAACATCACTAATCATCAGAGGAAGGTAAATCAATAAACCGCCAACAGGTATACGAAAAGGTGCTCAACATCACTAATCATCAGAGGAAGGTACATCAACACCACAAGGAGAGATCACCTCACACCTGTCGGAGTGGCTGTCATCAGTAAATCAACAAAGAACAGGTGTTGGGAGGACGTGGCGGAAGGGAGCCCTCGTGCACTGTCGGTGAGCCTGTGCATTGGTGCAGTCACCAGCAAAACAGTATGGAGTTTCCTAAAAAATGTAAGAAAGAACTACTGGATGATCTAGCGATTCTATCTCTGGGTGCTCATCCGAAGGAAACCAACACACTAACTCAGAAAGGCATATGCACCCCTGCGTTCATTGCAGCATTATTTACAACAGCCAAGCTATGGGGAAAATCTAAGTGCCCATCAACAGACAAATAGAGAAAGAAATGGTGGTATTTTCCTTGGCTGATTTGGTTCAGCAGTTAGGGTGTCGGCCCAAGGACCAAGGAGTCCTGGGTTGGATTCCGGTCAAGGGCAAGTATCTCCCTTTGGGTTGGTCCCCAGCCCTGGTCAGGGTTGTGTGGGAGGCAACCAATCGATGTGTCTTT